GACAAGGAAGACATCCCCACTCCCTGGCTCCCATTTGCCTCTCTTTGCTTCTTTCTAGCACCGTGTAGTGAAGTAACTGCAGGCTGTGGACTCTCCTCGCAGTGAAAGGCAAGGAGCCCTCTATTAAATGAGTAAGCAGTGGAAATATTAAGACAATTTTTATATTTCTCATAACATTTAAAAGACCAAAAATAAATTAATTAAAAAGACAATGGTAGCCTTCATATTGCTTAATAATACCTTTACTCAAAAATCTCAATACATTTTGTGGTTGTTGTTTTGTCTCTCTGGCATGCTTCCTTGAATAATGAAAAGGCAGTAATCCACTTTTTTTTTGCCTACACTACTGCAAACTCATTTAAAATGTATGCTTCAACAAAAAGAACTTTCCTTAATCTGGGTTTGCCATAAGACATTAGCATTTCTTTCTTTCCTTTTAAAAAAAAATCCTACAGGCTTTATTGCACACAGGGCATGTGTAGTAAGGCACCTCAAAATACAGAAAAACAAGCCCACAATCTTGAATTTCCACTCTTAGCCGGCAGACTCCGGTTCTGCTGTGTGACAATATAACATGCATAGCGTAGCACTGGCATATGTAGATGAGTGCATTTTATTAAAAGGCAGCGAGTATGAACATAGTTTGATGATATTCAAGAGCCAATAGGAAATCCCTCACATTGGATTTTGCTGCAGTTTTTGTTTCGTTTTGTGGCCTGGGCAAGAAGGTTAAGAAAAGAAACTCCAAACAAGCCCACTGCTATCGAGTCAGTTCTGACTTATGGAAACCCTGCAGGGCGGGGTAGAACTGCCCCTTTGAGTTTCTAAGACTGTACCTGTTTACAGGGGTAGAAAGCCTCATTTGTCCTGAGGAGCTAGCGGCTGGTGGTTTCTCGCTGCGGACCTTGCAGTACCAAACACCCATGGTACCTCTCTTGAAAAACCTGACATGAACAGTTTTTTTTTGCAATTTTGAATCCTGAGAGGATTCAGGGTGCGATTGCAGTCTCAGCTCAAGGCAGAGCTAGGCACAGAGGCGAGTAGCAGAACCCTAGAATCTGGAGCTTCCCCACGGGCTAGTTAACTTGTTAGGTGCTGTTGAGTTGATTCCTACTCACAAGGACCCTGTGTGCAACAGACTGAAACACCGCCCTCCTGCACCCTCCTCCCCGCTGGTGTTGTTGTGTTTGAGCCCGTTGTTAGAGCCACTGCATCCATCCATTTTGTCTAGAGTCTTCCTCTTTTTGCTACCCCTGCACTCGCCCAAGCATGATGGCCTTCTCCAGGGACTGATCTCTCCTGACAACATGTCCAAAGAATGTGAGAAGACATCTCGCCATTTTTGCCTCTATGGAGCATTCTGGCTGTACTTCTTCCACGACAGATCCGTCTGTCCGTTTGGCAGTCCATGGTGCTCTCAGTATTCTTCACCAGCACCATAGTTCAAATGCATCAATTTTTCTTCAGTCTTATTAAATTTCTTCTTATTAAATGTCCAATTTTCACATGCATATGAGGTGATTGAAAATACCATGGCTTGGTTTGCATGAGGAGCAAACTTCCTTTTGGTGGGATATGCAGAACTTGGGATGTGTGTGTATATATAAATATATATTTAAACATATATAATACTGACTTTAAAAAAAATCAAAATTTCCCTGACATACATTTTTTTAAATCTGTGCCCCGGAAATGTGTTTTCAGAGAGAATCTTATTTTCATACTCAGACTTTGTATCATCACTCATTTGTCTAAGAGCGCTTTGTTACGGCATGGGCCTGTCCTGAGACGTGAAGTATCACACAGCACCTATATAAAGACTGGCTGGTTCCCTCACCCTACCTGGACCTCCCCCAACTCCCTAACACTTATTAATTTATGAAACTGATTTTCTCAGCACAGTTTTATGTGTCCATTGGATTACAAACTTTATTTAAAAATACAAAACACACACACACACAAAGAAAATACCATGGTTTAGGTCAGGTACACCATAGTCCTCCAAGTAACAGCCTTGCTTTTCGACACTTTAAAGAGGTCTCGTGCAGCAGAGTTACCCAAGGCAGTGCATTGTTTGATCTCTTGACTGCTGCTTCCATGAACATTGATTGTGGATCCAAGCAAGATGAAATCCTTGACAACTTCAACCTTTTCTCCATTCATTATGATGTTACCTATTGGTCCAGTTGTGAGGATTTTGCTTTTCGTTACGTTGAGTTATAAACCATACTGACGGCTGAAATCCTTGACCTTCATTAGCAAATGCTTCAAGTGTTCCTCATTGTCAGCAAGCAGTTATCTTTTCGTATTGAAGGTGGTTAAGAAGCCTTTCTCCCGTCTTGATGCCCCATTCTTCTTCATAGAAGCCAGCTTCTCTGGTTATTTGTTCAGCGTACAGATTCATTAAGTATGGTGAGAATACAATCCTGATGCACATTTTCCTGATTTTAAACCATGCTATCTTCTCTTATTCTGCTCACAAAACTGCCTCTTGCTCCATGTATAGGCTCCACATGAGCAACATTAAGTATTCTGGGATTCCCATTCTTCTCCAGGTTATCCATAGTTTCCTATGATCCACAGTCGAATGCCTTTGCATAGTAAATGAAACACAAGTAAACATATTTCTGGTATTCTCTACTTTCAGCCAAGATCCATCTGATATGAGCAGTGCCATCCTTTGTTCCATGTCCTCTTCTAAGTCCAGCCCGAATCTCTGGCTGCTGCCTGTCAATGTCCTGCTTCAACTGTTGGATGATTTCCAGAAAAAAAATTTACTTGCGTGTGATAGCAATGATATTGTTCTATTGTTTGAGCCTACTGTGGGTCACCTTGCTTGGAATGGTTAAATTATGGAACTCTTCCAGTCTGTTGGCCAAGTGCCTATCTTACAAATTTCTTGGCTTAGACGAGTGAGGACTTCCAGTATTTTCAATTGAAATACATTTCAATTGGTATTTCATCAATTCCTGGAGCCTTGTTTTTGGCTAATGATTTCAGTATATTTTGGTTTTCTTCCTTCAGTACCTTGGTTCTTGCTCAGATGCTACCTCTTAAAGTAGTTAAATGTCAGCTACTTCTTTTTAGTACAAAAGCTGTATTCTTTCCTTCTATCTTCTTTTGATGCTTCCTGCATCATTCGATATTTCTGAGAGGTTTTCAGTAACCGAGATTGTGTGTCAGTGCTATCCATGAGGTTTTCGGTGGCTATTTCTTCTGAAGTAGACGGCCACCTTCTTCATACTCTGTTCTTAATCTGGAAGCTCTGCTGAAACTTGTTCACTTTGGGTGACCCTGCTAGCATTTGAAATACCAGTGACCTAGCTTCCAGCATCACAGCGACACACATGTCACCGCAGTGCGACAACCTGACAGACAAGTGGTGGCTAGCCGCAGAGGCAAACTGAGCCGAAGTCCTGTAGCTCCTCCACCTCCTGTGATCAAGCGACATGCCCGAATAGCTCTGTGCTTCAGTGTCCTCGTCTGTTAATAAAGCTTCCCCCAGATGATTGCTGTGAGAGCCATCTAAAGGATACATGTAAAACATTCCACACAATGCCTGGCCCAGGGTGCTGTTGATAAGTAGGAGCAGGAGAGAGGTTGTGGTGGTGATTGGCGTGGCTGATGTTCCCTAAGGTCACAGAACTGTCACAGTTTCATTCCAGACCAAACCCATTGCCACTGGGTTGATCCCAACTCATAGCGACCCTATGGGATGGGGCAGACCACCTCTGAGGGTTTCTGAGACGTACCTATTTAGAAGGTAGAAAGCCTCTCCCCCTCGGAGCCCCTGGTAGATTTAGTCGCTATGAGTTTAGGAGTAAGATACTGTGCGAAATGTTTTTCTTTCTGAAAATAGTGTTTCTGACTAATAATTCTATGAAATAGAATTCCTTGCAAATGCTCTATGAGTTGAATTAAATTTTTTAAAAATTTCTCTGGTTTAGTTAGTCAACTAAAATTTTTTAACCAGTAGTTTGCTATAAAAATTCCAAATCCAAAGCCAGCCCACTGTCACTGAGTCGATTCTTGCCACATCTTTTCTCCCCTAGAGCAGGCTGATGGCTTTGAACCGCCAACCCTTGATTAGCAGCTGAATCATTTAACCATAAAATTACCAGGGCTCCTTCTCTAAACGTGAACGTTAAAACTAAAAAAAAAAAAAAAGTTTAATTTAAAAAATTATACATATATATGTGTGTGTGTGTGTGTGTGTGTGTGTGTGTGTGTGTGTGAACTCACTTGTATTACGAGCACAGACTAAACCCCTCTGAAAGAACATTGCGTTCGTGTGGCAGCCTCCTTTCACAGTCCTCGCTTGTTGGGTGATGTTGTCAGTGCCTGCAAGTTGATTCCGACCCTAGCAACCTGTGCACACAAAGGAAGCCCGCGTGGCCCTGCACCAGCCTCCCAGTTGTTCCTGGCCTCCGCCCATTGTTGCACTCCCTGTCTCCATCCAGCTTACTGAGGGCCGCCCGCCTTTTCTCTGCCCTTCCACATTTGCTGGATTGAACCCCTAAAATGACTCCACATCCCACAAAGCACTGTAATTAGTCCTTTGAAGATACTTCCTCCTACATCTTACATGCCAGTGCTCCCATGAGTCTAAAACTCGTGCTGAAAAACCAAGAAGAACAGCTTGATACATGAAAGAAAGCCTGGTGACTCTCCGCTGATTTCATCTGTTGTTCTAGAACGTGTGTAACATTCATGGTCCCCAGGGTGGTTGGAGTAAAGCAACCGGGTCCTGTCAGTGAGTGTGCACTGAGTCCCCGGCACTGTGCTAGGCACCTCCTGTCACTCAGGGAGGCTGTCCATGCAGCTAACTGATGTAACCCAGACACACAGGGGAAAGAACAGGAGCCCAGGTGCTGACCCAAGGAAGAATTCACAACTTTTTGAAACTCTGTAAGATTGGACTGTTTTTAATGCACAATGGCTCATTTAAATTGGCAGTCTGTATTTAAATTTTTAATCTGACCTTCAACTTTTTTTTCCAGGTGTTGTGTAATGGACCAGGAACATGTGTTCCTGTCTGTCTCTCGGCCCTTCTCCTGGGGCTACTCGGAGTAAAGAAAGTGATCATTGTCTACGTTGAAAGTCTCTGCCGAGTGGAAACTTTATCCTTGTCCGGAAAGATTTTGTACTTCCTCTCAGATTACTTCATTGTTCAATGGCCGACGCTCAAGGAGAAATATCCCAAATCAGTGTACCTTGGACGAATTGTTTGACAATAATATTCATTGTAATTCAAAACAAAACAAACACACGCACAAAACTGTGTGTTTCGTAAATAGGCTTCTGTGTGTCCTGAGAATGATTAGTAAGCAGGAGTGAAATGTGTACAGATACTGCACTGATGAAACAGACGAGACGTCTCCTTTAAAAACAAACATCAATAAACAGCTGGCATTAAGTGCTTATGCCTCCTGTACGATGATGAATTACCTTATCTAAAAGGTAAAGGGGCTTAAAAGAAAATTGTGGAAAAGTTTGGTTTTCTTTCCATGAACTTTTTGAAGCCTTCTCCTAAGATCCTTGAACGTCCTGGACAAGTGAAGTGACTATGTTTTGTAAAAACAGGAATTTGTACAAGTAAGGGGGGCTCCAGCTACCCTCAGCAAAGAAGGTGGAGCATGTTTTCATCTGAAATCAAGGAGGCTTGAACCGAGTCTGCCACGAAGCTCAGACAAGAACGTGCGCCTGGACGCAGCCGGGGCACCCTAGACGGCAAGCCCGTCTGCTCTCAGGAGGGCTGCGCAGACCAGGGGGCAGTGGAAGAGGTGCACTGGGACATGCGGACCTCTCACAAGGCCTAATTTCATTTGAATCCTTTATGGTTTAAATAAATTGTTATAACCAAACGATGGTATAACCAATTCATTATCTGGTTGTTATAAATTGGTAGCTGTAATAAAGATACCTTCTGTGAATTCTGAGTTGCTGAGAGTCAACAGAAGTTAGTGTCTGCTTCTCTGTCAGTCTGAAAGACTGTGTCCTTTTAACTTGGGTGCTCTGACTTAGCCCTGGGTGGTTAGGGAATAAGAAAGACGAAGCTGGTAGGTCCAAACGAGAGACAATCAGGTAGGCTCCCAAACATGTGGCCAGTGCCCACTGAGGTAGCCCTGGGTGGCTGGGACAGGAGACAGAATAGGCCAGCTGGCCTGAAGTGGAGGGAATTATGTAGACTCCCCAGCTTGCAGCTGGTACCTATTAGCCCCATGTGGCTGGAGCCAAGAGAGAGTGTCACTTGGAATGACTGGTAACAAGGATAGAGGAGCAGAAAGGTGAAGACTGGATCCGTTTTCAGGTGAAAATTGGATTGATACTGATCCTTCCCAGGAACTTAGCACTGAAGGTGTAATTTGCCCTCCGTGTTCCTTGTTTAATGCAGTAAGCAATGAGGATGGGATTTCTTAGAACGGCCCTAATCCATAGAGACAGAAACATGGGAAGAGATAGGGTGAGTGATCTAGGAATGAGAAGTGTTTTATTCGTGGATGATCCTTTGGTTATGATCTGTAATGGCTAAAATGAAAGTAAGACATGAGCTGAGTCTGGATTCCGGGTGATTCAGGAATGTGATGGGGAAAATCTTGAGGCAAGGCTAAGGCTCGATTTTTGCTAGCATGAGCCGCAGACTTGGAACTGTTTTCAAGGGGAAGCAAGGAAGAAAGAGAGAAGCCAGATAGAATTCTCTCTTTGGCAAATGTGTCTGCACGAAGGAGGGCTAATGAAGACATTCCCAAATAAACAAAAGCTGAAAGAGTTCACTAAAAGTAGACTCACCAACTATAAATGCTAAAGGAAGACCCTCAGATGAAAAGGATATGATACTAGATAATAACATAAACCTGTTCAGACAAAACAAGATCCTCAATAAAGATAATTTCATCAGTAAATATAAGGGCCAGTTTATGATTTCTTTGATCATAATTCTAGTTGTTATGCCTCCATTTTATCTAACAAATACAAGGGGGTGTCCCACCCTCCTAAAAATAATAGAAAAAAGCTCAGCTGGGGGGAGTTTTCTTAGTACACATTATTCCCTGCTAGGCGAGCATCAAGCAACTCCCTCTGAGTTAGTGCACCCAGTGGCTTTGCCTGGGAAGGTTCTCTCTGGTCACAGTGAATTTTTTCGTGAAAGCAGTTTCGCTCAAACCTCATTTTTTGTGACGGCTGATTTAAGAGAACAGTGTGTGGCTGTGAATTTTTGTTTCCTGCTCGGGAAAAATGCCAGAGAAATTGTTGTAATATTGAACACAACTTACAAGGACAGCACTATGGGAAAAACTGAAGTATATGAGTGGCTTCCTCATTTCAGAAAAGGTGAAATATCAGTTGATGACAAACCTCTTTCTGGATGTCTGTCAACTTCCCGAACGGATAAAAATATCCACACATAATGTACTTGGCATTTGTTCCACCAGGTCAGACTGTTAATCAAGCTTCTATTTAAAGAAGCTGAAAAGATTACATAACAGTATGCAACAAAAACCTGATTTGTGGCAGACGGGGGACTGGTTTTGCCACCACTGCAATGCACCTGCTCATGCAGTGATCTCCGTGCACCAGTTTTTGGCAAAAAACAGGATGTCTCTTTTTCCCCCATGCACCTTACTCACCTTGCCTCTCTCCATATGACTTCTTTTTGTTTCTGAGAATGCAGAGGGACATGAAAGGACAGTAATTTGACAACGTAGAAGACGTGAAGAAAAATCAAGGGAGGTGCTGTCAGCCATCCAAACAGATGAGTTTGAAAAATGTTTCCAAGAATGGACTCACAGATTTGACACATGTATTAAGTGTAAAGGAGAGTACTTTGAGGGTGATAAGGTTGTTTTCTGAAAAAATTTAAATACATAGCTTTGAAAAAAAATTCCGGGTTTTTTTGGGTACTCCCTCATACATTAAGTATAAACTTGTTATTGACATGTTATGTAAATGATGTAAAAAGAATTGTGTTGTTGAAGTAGGCTGTTAAAAATTTAGGATATTTACTGGAATCCACAAGGGTAAATACAAAGAAACATTTCAAAACATCTATCTATGTATATCTTTATATATATGCAAATGAGAAGAAAATAAAAAATGGTTCACTATTTTTTCTTTAATTAACTAAATACAGAGTAGAGCATCATTCATGGATATCAAGGACCAAAAAAAGGCATATGACTTGCAACAATACAAATAACAAAATGCCAGATGTAAATCCTTCCTTATCAGAAATTACATGTTAATGGATAAACTTTCAAATCAAAAGATAGGCATTAACCCAATAGATTAAAATGCATGGTCCACCTGTACAATGTCTCTGAAAAAATACACTTATACTCAGAAACACCATTAGGTTGAATGGATGGGGAGGAAAATAAACATCTATGTATTCTATGCAAATGTGATTATTATGCAAATAGTAATGGAAAGAGAGCTAGAGTGTGCATACTAGAGCTCTGGTGGCATAGTGGGTTTCCCATTGGGCTGCTAACCTCAAGGTCTTCAGTTAGTAAACAGCAGATGCCCCACCAGAGAGAGAGAGAGGCTTTACTCATATTAAGGTTTACTTTCATGGAAACCCACAGAGACAGTTCTGTTCTCTCCTATAGAGTTGCTGTGAGAGAGGGTTGACTCAATGGCAGTCAGTTTGGTGAGCATACTAATATCAGATAAAACAGACTTTTAAGTAAAAATCCATTACAAAAGACAAGGGGATAATAATAACAAGGGCTGGGGGGTGGGGTAGGATTGGGAAGGGAGAGGATAAAGGGGAGCTGATATCAAGGAGTTCAAGAAAAAAGAAAATGTTTGGAAACTGATTGTGGTAGCAACTGTACAATTATGCTTAGCCTAAGTGAAGTATGGATTGTTATGATATCTGTATGAACTCCCTATAAAAGGATTAATTAAGAGAGGGGGGGAATTATATAGTAGTAAATGTGACAATTCATGAAGACATAAGAATTATAAAAATATTTTCACCTGAGATCAGAGCCCCAAAACATATTAAGCAAGTTCTGACAGAATTAAAGGGAGAACCCCAATCTCCTGTGTCACTCCATGACTTTGTGGCTGATTATGGTGTCTTCTCATGTTGTCCAAGGCCTGGCCAGAGACTGTCAGGGGTAGCCAGAGCTGTCCCATCCACCTGCCTCCTGCTCTGTCTTTGTCTCCCTTGAATAAAGCACTTATGCCCTCAACACACACATACACACCAGGTGTTGTTGCTGAGTTGTTTGCAATTAACAAAAACTAAAAGGAGAAATAGCACTATAATAATAAAGATACCAACGCACTATTTTCAATAATGAATAATACATCTATAAATAAGATCAATAAGGAAATAGAAGATTTCAACAACACTATACATCAATTAGACCAAACAGAAGAGTCCATTCAACAATAGCATAATACACATTTTCTCTAGTGCACATGGGTCATTCTCCAAGATAGACCATATGCTAAAATCTAAATACGTTGTTAAATATTAAAATTATAAAAAGTATCTTGTCCAGCTAAAGTAGACTAAAACTAGAAATCAATAATAGAAGGCAATCTGATAGTTACACAAATGCATGAGAATTAAAGAATACACTAATAAAAAATAGGTCAAAGATTCAAAAGAGAAATCAGAAAGTACTTTAAAATGAATGAAAATATCATACTAGTATTTATGGGCTATAATAAAGACAGTGCATAAAGCGAAATTTATAGGGGTAAACATTGGCATTAATAAATATTTCAAATTAACCAAAATTCACATTTGAAGAACAGAACAAGCTATGCCCAAAATTACCAGAAGGAATGAAATAATAAAGACCAGAGCAGAGATAAATGAAATAGAGAAGCAATAAAACCAGAAGTTAATTCTTTGAAAAGATCAATAAAGTCAACAGACCTTTGGTTAGACTGAAAGAGAAAAACAAGATACAAATAAATCAAATGAAAATTGGAACATTACTATCCACCTACCAAATACCAAAAAGGTATTAGGAGACTATTAAAAATTTTATACCTGTAAATATATATGATGATTGGGAAATAGAGTTATGTACATATATTTATAGGTTTAGTATTAAGGTAGCAGATGGACATTGGGCCTCTACTCAAGTACACCCTCAGTGCAAGAACACTTTGTTCTATTAACCTGGCATTCCACGATGCTCACTTTCCCTGCACGATCGCTGAAGACAAAGCAGGTGCATAAGCAAATGTGGTGAAGAAAGCTGATGGTGCCCAGCCATCAAAAGAGATAGCATCTAGGGTCTTAAAGGCTTGAAGATAAGCAAGCAGCCATCTAGCTGAGAAGCAACAAAGCCCACGTGAAAGAAGCACACTAGGCTGTGTGATACGAGGTGTCAATAAGATCAGGTATCAGGCATCGACAAAAAATCATATCATTGTGAATGAGGGAGTGCAGAGTGAAGACCCAAAGCCCATCTAAAGGCAATGGGACTTCCCTTTACAGAAAGGTCACGGGAGGAGATGAGCTAGTCAGGGTGCAGTATAGCACCAATGAAACATGCAACTTCCCTCTAGTTCTTTAATGCTTTCCACCCTCCCCCCAAACTACCATGATCCCAATTCTACCTTACAAATCCAGCTAGACCAGAGCATGTACACGGGTACAGATAAGAGCTGGAAACAGGGAATCCAGGACAGATGAACCCTTCAGAACCAGTGGTGACAGTGGCGATACCGGGAGGGAAGGTGGAGTAGAATGGGGGAACCGATCATAGCGATCTACATATAACCCCCTCCCAGGGGAAGGACAACAGAAAAGTGGGTGAAGGGAGACATCGGTCAGTGTAAAACATGAAAAAATAATAATTTATAAATTATCAAGAGTTCATGGGGGAGGGAGGAGAAAAAAACTGAGAAACTGATACCAAGGGCTCAAGTAGAAAGAAAATGTTTTGAAAATGATGACGTCAACAAATGTACAAATGTGTTTGACACGATAGATTGTGATAAGAGTTGTATGAGGCCCAATAGAATGATTTAAAAAAAAATTTTTTTACACCAACAAATTGGATGACAGATAAAATGGACACATATCTAGAAATACATACCTTTCGAAATTGACTCAAGAATAAAGAGAAAATCTCAACAAACCCATCACAAAAGATTAAATCAGTAATTAAAATCTTATAACAGAAAAGCCCTGGGCCAGATGGATTTACTGTGGAATGATATCAAACATTTTTAAAAGAGTTGAAGATTAGGGAACACTACCTACTTCATTCTACAAGACCAGGATTACTTTGATATCAAAGACAGGTGAATACATTTCAAGGAAAGAAAATCATACATCAAAATCCTCATGAAAACATTAGCAAAACAAATCCAACAGCACCTTAAGAGGAGCTCCGTGATCAAGTGGGATTTGTCCCCGGAATTCAAGCATAAGGATATCAACAACTGATTGTCAAAGTAAAACAAGAGATGTTTGTTACTATAGTAACAAAAACGTGATGCCATTTATCAGGGATACAAACATTGATTTTTAAATGTTCAATACGTGTGCAGTGCTGTAGCTATAATGTTTTCTCTGGCATTTTGTGACGATTACTCACTGCCATGGGGTCAAGGCTGACTCATAGCAACCTCCTGTGGGTGTCCGAGCCTGTAACTGTTCACAGGAGCAGAAAGCCTAGTCTTTCTCCCGCAGAGCTGCAGGTGGTTTTGAACTGTGGACTATGCAGATCACAGCCCAGGGCGTGACCACTACTCCACAGAGCTCCATTGTGATGGTTAGGCTTGCTCGATTCGATAGTTACTAATGTATGGAGTGCTTGTTGTATGCCAGGGATTTCTGTCTACACTTTTCAAATATTAAATAACAATGAAGGAGCTACTATTATCCCTACAACTAGTAAGTGACAAAGCCAGGTGTCAAAGCCTGGATGTTGCATTTATACAGGGCCCCACACTTAGGAGGGCCTCATGCCTGGTTCAGTGCTCTGCTGTCCCTCATGAATTTCTGACTAATTATGTAACAACAGGCTCTGAATTTTCAGTTGGCACTGGACCCCACAAGTTAAGTAGCTGACCCTGATTTGAACTTTGTCCCCTTAGGCCACGCCCACAACAGAAGACTATTGCCTGCTATCATT